ATGTACAAAACTTTATCAAGGATGAAATAAGATTACAATGATAAGTTCAAGTGAAGTTGCGTAGGTTTCTATAGAAAGGTCATCCATCTATTTAAATAGGCGAGGATTTTTGCTCTTCTTAAGGAACAACCAAGGGATTTTCATTTAATTAATGATTTGTAGGGATTTCTTGATTGAGTCTGATTTGGATAGGATTCTGATCATGCCCATATCAGATATGTCCATTATATCCTTCCTTATTCTAGTGAGGCGTCTTTAGTAGAGTTTGTTGTCTTACTTGATTTATGGCTTTCTTGTATGTTGGAGTTTTTCTGTCTTGATTGTTGGATACCTGCCTTTATAGATTGATTTCCTGATTTCCTTGATTGATTGAGTTTTGTTGATTCGCAGGAGTTTGAGGATATGGGTTGGTTGGCTTCCTTGAATCTTGGAGATTTAATCAATCACTAAGATCTTGACCAGCTTTGATTGTGGATTCTGATATGATTTGTTCTCTTTTGTTGTAAACCTGGATTATGACAATGTCACTATGTACTGCTCATCGGATCCTGCAAGCAACACTAGACTTATTTTTAATTATCAAAACACTTTTAATGCTTAGGAGGCTAACAACATATCAAATTGCACTAGCTGTCTAACTACTAACCACCCTCTCGGTCAATCTACTTACTAGGTTCTTGATCATAGCCTAACCATTCTAGCACATAGGAAGGTTTCCAAATATAATTACAACTTTTCGGGTAACTGCTCGAGTCATACCCTTGCTTTCTCTCTATTTACCCAGTCATACCCACATAGTATATTAAGTCAAGTTTCTAACCACTAAACACGAATTCCTTTCTGCAATGTGACATCCCCCTAAGCACTCATACACATACACTAACCCCACTCATTGCCATTACAACATATTCCTCCCTCACTTGGACATTAACAATTCTTGTAATGCCTACTCCCCACCTCTATTTCACCTTTCATTATTATAATTACAGAGTCTAAACAACATAGGAAAACAATCAAACCTAAGAAATCATAACCATATCACAACTCTGAAAAGTACAAAATTAATTGTCATTATGCACTATGTTCAAATCTACCTTTTCCATGTACACAATTATGTCACATAGTTGGTCCTCTCATTGAACCCAAACACAAACTGTTAGCATATCAGAATGTGGTTTCCTATCCAATAATTATGCCAGAACATGGCAACTGTCCTAGTTAGTTATGCCTGAACGTTTGCAAACGATCCAGCAGGTTATATAGGAGTGTGGCAACTGATCCCAGTTGGTTATGACGGAACGTGACAACCGATCCATGCAACACACCACAATCACAATCATAAGTATATCATCACAATCATACATCAAGAAGTGATTCAAAAAAACATATAGTTCTTAGTTCCTTCTCATTCACATTAGGCGTGATCAACAGGTTTCATACGCATACATGCACGATTTACATTAACGCAAGTTTTAATATACCACCTTTAATGACAGAAACACAACCCTTACCATTGAACTACTTAAACACATATATCATGTAAACAATAATTCGACCGTAGCTAACCCTAGATCATCATCTAAGGCTTATTCCTAGGGTTTAACTAGATTTCCCTCTGTGCACGAAGGCCTACACATGATTCTAGCGTTGATTTAAATATATTACACAGTGAACACAAATTTATAACTATTCAATTCATAAAAAACCTAGCCTACCTAGGCGCCACACAGCTGCATGGAGTTATTGACTTCGATTTTTGTTTTCCCGGCTTGTGATGGTGATCTTGGCTAGAAATCCGCAATCTCTCGACAAGCTCATGTTAGAAATCCCTCTGTCCCTTCTTTCCAAGCTTGCAACAACTTTTTGGGGGTTTCTAAGGCGTTTTACGACTAATTTAGGTATTTTAGAAAGAAGGAGAGATTAAGATTTCACGTTATTTACGTTTTGTCTTGCCTATCCCGCTCTAGCGCTAACTTATCCCGCCCTAACAGCAAGTCTCACCCTAGCGGAACAGTGGGCTGGAAATTTCTGAGTTTTTTGCTTTTTCCTAATTAACGATGGTTCGGGTCGTTTCAAAATCATTCCTCAATCACTACTTAATTTAAAACCTACTCCGTTAAATGATAAAAAAAAATTGACTCGAAACAACTATCAAAAAAGGTAAAATAATTTTTTTAAATTTTTTTTTAAAAATGACCTTTGGTGTCCTTACAAATAAATACACATATCTCTAGCCAAATATAATCTTAAAATTTTTGGGTTTTGACCACCATATTGATTAAATGGTCCCAATGTTGGGCAGTACCGCACTAAGTTAGGTTTTCCGTCACTGTTGTGTTGAAAATTGATGAATATGCTCTATCCCTAGGATGCACGTATCTATTATTAGTTATTTTGGGAAATAAGAGAGGAATTTTTTACTTCGTCCGTCTACTATTATTTGTTATGATTTCTAGTCAAACTATAATAATTTTGATTAATATTTTAAGATGTATTTTTTCATCATATTGATATGCAAAAAATTGCACTTTATAATACTTTTCATATAGTTTTTGAATATCGATTTTTTTTATTTAAAATATCGAATTAATATAATCTAATTTAACTTTGAAAATTAGTCAAAATTTGACTTTCAAAAAATTTAACATGACAAATAAAAGTGGACGGAAGGAGTATAAAATAATTTCAAAGTGACTGAATGACTTATTTATGTAATTAATAATAATAATTGAGTTACTTCTAATAAAAAAATTTGATTCACTGAACAATTTGTCTAACTTTTTTTTATATTAGAACTTAGTTAAGATAAGTTGGCTAGTTTTCATTGTGTTATTAAAATTTATTTGTTGGTCATAAAATATAAATATAAAAAAGGATAAAAGAATAAGGATTTTTAAGTGTTCAAGATATGTGTGCCTCGATCGGAAGTGACAATTTAACACGAGTGTAACAAAAAAAATAATTAAAAAAACTAATTGATTTCAAAATAATTTGCAATTTAAGATGAATCTATTATTTCGATTGTTATTTATTATTAATCAAGTAAAATTATTCGTGTTTCGCGGGAATTAAATATCACAAAATTTATAAAGTATTACTTAAAGTATATCTGGCACTATCACTAAAACACTATATTATCTTACGTGCAAGATTAAACACTAATGATGTAAAGGAAAATGAAAATTATTACATCTTACCATTATCCTTAATAACATAAGCATAAATTAATGATTGTTAAAAGACACACCAGGATTTATAACATAAGCAATGGTCTTAGAGAGTTATTCAACATGAGCAAAGTACACAAATATTTAATTGTGAATGAGGAGAAAAAGGAGAAGGAGAAAAAGAAAAAATACGTACAAAAATATTTAATTGTGAATGAGGAGGAGGAGAAGGAGAAGCAGAAGAAATATTTTATAATGAGAGGAAATCCCTCTATTTATAGACAACAAAGGGTCGTGTAAAAAAATAGTTATTGTGCTTCATCAGAAAGGTTTCAACTATTTGGAAAAGTTGCAATCCTTTGGAAAGCTCACAATCTTTCATAAAAGTTGCAATTCTTCATCAAAGTCGCAATTTTTCATAAAAGACAACTTTTCATATATAAGTATTATAACCGTTTTTTCAAATCTATTATGCTTGTTAGGGAATAAATTGACATCGTATTATAAGTGTATTAAAATGTGTGATAAAAATATATTATCCATCAATAAAACTTGTATTATATGTGAATAATAGTGTTTTTTGTAATATATATTAAAACAGTATTACAATTATATTAAAACTGAAATAAAAGTAATTAAAAAAAATATTATTACTATAAATGATAAATATTTTTTAATATAGTATATTTAGGTAGTTTCCTTAAATTATTATATTTAATATATTTGAACTCGTAATTTAAATTATATGACGTTTCAACCTTTAGCACATTTATTGCCAATTTTTATGAGATGAAAGCAAATAGTAATAAATGAGATGTATATTGTCCATACTTCCACCCACTTTAAGATAGGGTGGGCTCAACTAAGGCAATTACAACTCTCCTTTGGGCCCACTTTTATTTTTAAAATTTGAAAGGAAATTTTTTATTATAAAATATACTGTATTTTTTTAATGTGGGGATAATGGTAATATATAATTAAGGGATAACTCTTTTATGTGTATTATTCTAGGTGGTTATTTATTTTATTGTTTCATTTTTATCTGTACAGCTAATATTGACAAGCATTATATATATATTTTGTGCTCTTAAATTTGTTAATGGTTCAATGAGTAGGGTGGGGGGAGAGTACTTCTCTAGATGTTGGGGGTCTCGAGAGGTAGATCGGGATGACATCGGTAGAGGTTAAGAAGGTACCGCGAGGTTGGTGGAAAGTAAGAATGAGAGGAGGAAAAGTGGAAAAGTATAAAGTAGCAAAGAAGGAGGTATAGTTTGTAGTTACAATGTATGTATGTTGGGTTAGAGGATAATTATGGGGATAAAAAGTTGTACAGGCTAGACAAGGCGAGAGAATGGAGGACATGTGACCTGGATCAAGTGAACTTCATAAAGGACGAGAATGAAAAGGTTCTGGTGGAGGAGACACTCATTGGACTGAGGTGACAATTATACTTCCAAAACTCCTTGAACGAAGATGGAGCATGGACATTGTGTGGGGAGTTGGATCAATTAAAGAGGCATCATAATTTTGGGTGTTGTAGGTGTATTAAGGATGATAACGTTAAGGGTGTTATGTGTAATATGTGTAAGGGAAGACAAACCGGGCCAAAATGAGATTTGTAATATAGAGTTGTAATCTGAAACCAAAGTTGCTGACATTTGTCACCGTTTAGGTCGTGTTTTTAACCCCTTTGAGTAAGGAGGTTTTCAATCGTAAAACACTTATTGTTTACCTTGATGTTTTTAGTTAGTCCTAAGGAACTTGGTTCCTCAAGTCGAGTAGTTGGTACTAGTTTTCTTAAGGCGTACATTATTGAGAAAAAAACACTTCCAATGCCAATAATAATAATTAGTATTATAAAAGCTGCATCTCAACGGTTGTGATGTAGACAACCTACCAACCTTAGACGCAAGCATCATTTTGACAATCAATTCAACAAATATAACTTTACAACACATAATAAAAAGGCCAGCTCAACAGACGAAGCATCCCACATTCATGCAGGCTAAGCAGCTAGAGCGCACACACTTGAAGAAGAAGATGTAACATAAACCATCTATCCGAAATAATCAATAACAACAAATATTAACTATGCAAGTTTGAGATGAAGCACTTCTCTAAATTCCAATCTTCTAGTCTCAGCATAAGGAGTTATATGTTTATTTGGCCAATATGTTAACCAAAGTCTCCCTTTCAATTCCCATTCCATTGTTTTTCCTATAGCCCTTTTATCCACTTTCCAACACACACTTTCTCCATATTCATCTCCAGCAAAAATTACCCCTCCTTGCTTAGTAAAAGGCCTATTAACACTTGAATATCTGTTCTTGAACCAAGCTTTTGGCTGAATTAATGAAAAAACAGAAGGCTTTGACGAAAATACCTCTCTTCCATTTCCACTATCATGAAGAAACCAATTCAAATTTGCACCATCTCCATTAACAGATTGCTCAAATTTCCACGGCTTCATGGTCGTAACAACTGTCTCTCCCGCGGAGACTTTTAAGCCCATGTAAGTGTTTGGTGGATCGAATCCCGCTTCAACGGTCTTTTCGATGCCAATTTCTCTTAAGGGATTGTCAGAGGACTTGTTTACTGATATGCTCAACACATTGGATTGAAGTGTTGGAGTTAGTTGCAATGATATTCTTGAAGGGAAATGCTTCTCTGATACCCCTGCACCTCTCTCTGCCATTAGTGATTCATTCACTAGCCTAACAACATCACACCTACATGAACATAAAACTTTTAAATCAAGTTAAGATTCAATCTTTAGGTTCTTTTCCCTAAGAAATTGCGATCCTGCTTGGATTAGATGGTTAAAAGTAATTCACAAGCATCAAGTGTTGGGAATCACTTTTTAAGTGTTTCAACAGTTGATTTGAACCTTTTCTCAAACGAAAATGACATAGATGAGCCAAATTTTTAACAGATGACATAAGTGAACCTATTCTCAAAGTTTGGTGACATATTTGAGCCTTTTTCTGTATAATAAATAGTTGTATGTTTAGTAAAAGGATGTTATAAGCATGTACTATATTCAGTTAAATAACTGAAATGCGCTTAATAAGATAGGGGCATTATTGGGCCAATATTTGGAATAACATAATAGATATCTTGCTGATCTGTGTTTATAAGCATCAAACATGTGAATAAATCAAGAAGAACGTATAAGTTAGTTTAACCAACTTATAAGTTATACGCCAAAAGTATTTAGTTCAAAGAAGACAAATATACCTAATGTTATCGGTGTTCACCATTACTTCAATCCACTTTTCTCGAACGATAACTCTATGATTTAATTGGATCACTCCTTCAAGCTGATGAAAGTTGAGGGAAAACCTCAAACTTTCATCAGATAAACTACTATAAGTAGACGTTTCGACTTCCATTGCAATAACAGGGCAATATAGCTGAACTTTCCATAGCCCTTGTGTCGAAAATGAGTATGAAAACAGTGGACATGGCGTTCTCATCGCATGATCATGATGATTAGAAGAGGAATTTATTTCCAAGATCCAATTAGTTATCGCTAGATTTACTGAACGCATCCATTGCTCTTCAGTATTCGATCCCAAAATCCTCACGAGCAATTTTGATGCTTGTCTAGATTGAGAACACGAAAATTGATTCTTCAGGGCAATAATACATGTTGACCTAAGATCAGCAGGGGCTTCATAGATACAAATTATGAAAGCCAAAGTAAGAAATGAGAAATTGAAAATTTCCTTAAAATCGGAGTTGTTAAAATCCATTCGTGGAATCTTGAGGAACAACGAGTTATAATTTTTATTCGGACCATAGTTAAGTACATCGCGGACGATATTAATCAAGAAACTGAATACTGATTCATCGTCTAATAATTTTGTTGTACTATATTTAACTCTTAACTGTTTTGAGGTCCATAGGGAAATAGGAAGATTATAATCCGCGACGATGGAAAAATGGTAATTTTTAGCTATGGAGAGTTTGAGGGAAGGTTGAGATGAACATGAAGGAGAAATGCAAATTGAAATAGAGTCTGTTTTCCATTTAGAAGTTGGTGGTAAGTTGTTTATCCAAGAGTATATATCAGGAAAATTGCAAGTATAATAATAAGCCATAGTTTTAATCACACTTGTATGTATGTTATATGATGATGGAATTAATGTGTAAATATTTATAGACAGATATTGTGAAAAGAAAGATTCCTAAGGCTAAGATATAACTTAAAAAGGTTACAAATTGAATTTGCTTTAATGAACGGAATAAAGGTAAATGTTGAAAATTGCACAAGGAAATATATACTTTGAAAGAATTTATATATAGATTCTTTAACTTCAGGACCATCTAAGAGAATTTTTTTTATGTTACGAGGAAGTTATGGACTACATTTCTACTATTTGGTATTCCCATGTCCACTTTTAATTGTTATAATGAGCTTTTCAAAAGTTAAGTTGACTAATTTTCAGAGTTAAATTATATTACATTTATTCGAATTTGAAATAAAATATTTATATATTTAAAATTTATACAAAAAGTATTATAAATTCCATTATTTTGCATATCAATATGATGAAAAAATACATCATAAAATTGTTAGTCAACGTTATTATCGTTTGACTCTAAAAAAAGAAACTATGATAATTAAAAGTGGACAGAGATAGTATAATATATAATTGTGTCATTTAACTTGATTTTAAATAACATTTATGTCATCTTATTTTGTGTGTATACAAGTAGACACACATCCTAGTGACATAATAATACATGTAGGACACTACATAAAATGTGAATTACCACGTAAGACATGTGTGTATACTTGTTTATTATGATACAAATTTAGCTATACTTTATATACTCAAAATTGAAGAGCGTAGATATAACATTTGAATCCATATAAAGGGTACTTTATATATTATGCCTTTTTATTATTATTATTCTCACTGTTTTTGGCATCATTAGTGATAATTTATCAAGAATATTAATAGTTCCACTGTATTTATTTTTCAAATTCGACCCCTCTTATTTGTTCCAAGTTGTTGCTTAAATAGGATAATGTTTGAACTTTCAATTCTCTTTTTGTTGTTTATATCTTTACTTCAACTACTTTTATTTGTACGTAACTACGCATGAAGATTATTCCTACTCTTTATTTGTAAGATCAAAAGTAAAGAATCTAGGCTTAATTATGCATGTTAACAACCTTACATCACACAAGCCACAAGAATGTGAGGTGGTTCCGTGCCAAACTCCTTACATCTCTGCCTAACAGCCTAACCTTAACTCTTTGCTTAACAACAAATTAAGCTTATGATGACGTTTCATGTACCATCAAATCTCTCCGTAAAATTGGAAATCTTAGATATTTGTTTTGGATTATGGATTGGACTTCAAATTATATTTTTATAAAATATATGAATTTTATATTGGACACTGTCAAGCCATTGTTACAAAATGAGGCTCCTTTAATTTCTAGATAAGGGTGTGCATAGATCGTTTTGATGAGCTTTAAGTATTAGTGGTTTTTAGTTTCTAAAAGTTCTGAACCAATAATCAAATTGATAATATAATTTTTATCGATTTTGATTGATAACGATTCGATTTAACTAACAAGAAAATGCTTGCAAGTCAAATATAACACCTCAGAATTTAAAAAAAGAGCAGAATTAAGTTTTTGAGTTGCATGTGTCTATAGTACCCATAGAGAAATTATTAATTTTTTCAAAACAAGTCTCACTACCCTTTATACGGAACATTAGGAAAGCCCATCCTCCCATGTAGGGGTGTATATGATCGGATTGGTCTGGATTTTTGAATATCAAATCAAATCATTTGTGTCAGATTTATAAATTTACAAAACAAACCAAATAAATAAAACTAGGATTATTCAACTTCGGATTTTTTCGGGTGTTTCGAATTTTCAGTTTTTTTCGATAAAATATTCATATAAACATATAATTTACTTGTACTTCAAATATTTTTTGGCTCCTACCAAATGCAACTCTCTAAGTTATTTCCCAAAAAATAACACAAAATATGGTATGATTAACGACACAAAAATATCCAACAAAAAAATAAATAATAAAATCGCGTAAAATAAATATTGCAAATTAATAAGTCATAATGAAATTGATCATCATTTAAAGTACTAAATCATGCTAAAATAAGTTAGTAAGTATTAGCCACATGACTAAATATTAAAAGAAAGTAAAATTAGATCATGTATTTTAATTGTCTAAATCTATGTAAAACTAAAAAACAAATATTCAATATTATTATCATTCTTAGTGTTGAATTGATTTTCATTTTGCATTAGTATTAATTTGATTTTTATTTAAACTTTTTTATAATAACCAACATCTATGGACTATTAATCTTTATTAGATCATTAAGAATTCTAACTTCCGAATATGAAATAAATATATGAAAAGATAAAAACTATGAAAAAGTATATGAGATTTTAAAAACTATATCAAAGTAAGTATTTTTACATATAAAATAAAATTTTAAAATTATATATATAATGTCGGGTTGGTTTTTTTAGTTGAACCCAAACCAATACAAATGTAGTCGGGTTTTTCGACACCAAACCAAGTCAAACCAAAAACTAGTCGGGTTTTTTTTTGTTTGACTCGATTTACGGTTTGATTCGATTTTTGATTCGTTTTTGTACATCCCTACTCCCCACATATGAGTCATAGATAGGTACCATAGGTTACCCCTAAACTACGTGAAATTCTAAAGTTTAATGTTGGTTTCTTTGGTTGGCATGTATGGATCGCAGATAGACCTACAAGTCATACATGAGTGCCATAAAAAGTTAGTCTAAACTAATAGTCTCTCTCGTCATTTCTATTTTTGACCAGAACGGTCCGTAGAAAAACCTACAGACCATATGTAGGAATGAATTGACAATTATTTTAAAAGGACTTTTAAGTCTTTTCTCTAATTAATTAATACCTAAACTAAGTTACTTTGATCTTAATCCTAAGCCCTATATAGGTCCTTTAAGCCTAAAAACTATCCATTATAAATCAAGCTTCTAAAACTCCTAAATCCCTCCAAGATCACCCCAAAAATTCCCTCAAGAACTGAGTGAGAAAGCTAGAGTTTGGCTTGAAGAGCTCCAATTCATCATTGATTGCTAAGTATGATAGTATGAATTGATATATATGTCATCCAATCTAATGTGTACACAAGTATACACACACGTCCTATGTGACATAATACATGTAGGATGCCACATAAGATGAAAATTGTTACGTAGGACATGCGTATATGCTTGTTTATTGTTCTACAAATTTAACTATATTTGTGTACACTCAAAATTGAAAAATGTAGATGCCATTTGAATCTATATTAAAAGGTAATTTTATATGGGCATAATACATATATAAATGTGCCCTTTAACTTGGTCTTATATCACATTTATGTCCTTCAACTTTGGGTATGCACAAGTAGAGACTTAAATCTGTATAAATTTGAACTAGTAGACACAGGAGACCTACGTGGTACGATACACATACGACACCACGTAGGATACAAATGGCATGTTGGATACCATATAGGACATGCGTGTCTATTTGTTCAACTTTATACAAGTTTAAGTGCCTACATCAGCACACCCAAAATTAAAGGGCATAAATATGCTTTGAAGTCAAGTTAAAAGAATATATTTATGTATTATGCCTATGCCTTCTATATATTATGCCTTTTTTTAATCATCCTCTTTGTTTTTGGCATCATTAGTGATAATTTATCAAGAATGTTAATAGTTCCACTTTGTTTATTTATTATTTTAAAATTTGACTCCTCTTCATTTTTTTCAGAGTTCTTGCTTAGTTAGGATAATGTTAAAACTTTCAAACCTCTTTTGGTTGTTTCATATCTTTACTTCTACTACTTTTGTACGTATGAATATGATTCTTATTCTTTACGTACTCTAACCACTATTTGTAAACGTTATATTTTTAAAAAGTTAATTTGATTAATTTTAAAAATCAAATTCGATTACATTAATTTGATATTTTACAATAAAAACTTTATGTATTCAAAAACAATACGAAAAGTACTATAAATTATATTTTTTTTTGCATATTAATATGATGACTGAATATACATCGTAAAATGTTAGTCAAAATTATTATCGTTTGATTCTAAAAATGAAAACTATGACAATTAAATGGGAGAAATTAAAGGCTCTCGATTTTACAAATAAAGTTAGTTACTTCTTTTTTTAATCTCGATTTTCCTTAGTCCTTCAAGTGACTAGTGAGTACATATAAAGCTAATTATTTTCTTTCTCTTGTTTTCTCTTAGTATTTCTAGTGTTTTTTTCTATAGGAAAGACTTATTCCTTTCTTTGCATAATTCAATTTTACAAAATTAAAGAATCAAAGAGATGTGATTAAATATGTGTATTTTTAATATGAAATTGTATGGATCTAATAAAAAAATGAAACCTCATTCTCATCACAGTCCCGTAAGAGGATGTAAATAACTCACTTAGTACTTTATAAATGATTCATTTCTGGATAATAACACTTATGGAATCTCTATGCAATAGAAGCATGAAGTTTTAAAATTTATGTGATTTTATTATCAATATGTAATAACTTGTAGTGACCTCAAGTTATTTATGATCTTCGTGATTATTGTCTGTTCTCTCCTTCTATGAGGCTTTCTATGGAGATTTGTGAGGTAGCTATTTGTCAACTCAGTGGACCCTCCTTCTCTTTATTTATGATTATTCTCTTCTAGAAACAATATTATTTGAGACTTGTATTTTTCTTTCAAATCAATTGTAATACATTAGAGCTTGTACACGTGAAAATCGAGTTTTAGGGTTTTATTTAAGTTGATTCCATGTTATTAGATGGTATGAGTTTATTTTCCTTGTTTTACTTCTGCAGTTGTCATATTAGTTAGTTTTAGGTTGACTTGTCTTGGTGTACTCATCAAGGGGGTTCAAAAAAATAAATTAATCACATAAACAATATCCACAAATAAATGGGTCGAATCAGATATAAATGGGTCGGATAAAATAATCAATATATCTAAAAACTTAAATAGATCAAGTTTTCAATAACGACCGATCCAACGGAAGTAACAAGCAGCAGCCAGCGCCCAACTGGCAACGACAAGGA